CCCAGCTGCAATCACACCCTGCTGGCTCCCGTTCAGCTTTTCACCCCTCTGGACCCCCTCCTGCAGCTCTCTGTACCACGGCTCCTCAAACCACTTTTATCCAACCCCAAACCTTCCTAAGAGCGGGATTTTCCCTGAGTGATGGGATGGGCTGGAGCCACGAACCCAAAATCACATCGGAAGGGGGGGGGGGGGGGGGGGGGGGGGGGGGGGCGGCGGGTCTGCCCAAGGACCAGCAGGAAACCGATCTAAAACCCACCACATATCCCAATTTCTCCATTAAACACCGCAAACCACCAGCCTACCAGCACAGCACCGAGCCGAGGCCTGGCCCAACCAATCCCAAAGAGCTAAGAGACGTGAAACAGCATCCAAACGACCCAACCCCCCCTTCCTCCCAGGACCTGAAGCAGCCCTGCGGCCTCCTTACAGTCTCCCCCCCAGCCCCACACACAAAAACGCCCCGGCCTCCCCTCAGCGCTCCCCTCAGTCTCCAACCCCATTTCTCACCGAAGCAGACGGTCGCCAGGTCTCCGGTAGGGCTGCCTGCTGCCTGTTAGCGGCTGTGGGGCCGGGGCTGAGCTCCACCGCCCGCTCCCGCCGCACTCGACCTCCCGCAACAAAATGGCGGCGGCGGTCGCAGCACCCGCCTTCTTCCCGCCGCCCAGAGCACAGCCGGCCAAAATGGCGGCGCGGAGGCGCAGTAAGGGGCGAGCACAGCGTTGTCCGCTATTGGGCGGACGCGGTAGTCGTTCTTCTCTGCCATTGGTCAACCAGTGCGCTGTGGGCGGGACTTTGGCCAGGGTGGGCGGGGCTACAGTCGCGGCCCAGCTGCGCACGTGCGTGGCTCCGTGCGGGGCGCTGAACCCCGCGGCGGGGCCGGGGCAGCGCGGTGCGGTTAGGCCGAGACGTTCTGGAAGGCCTGACGGTGCCTCCATCCGCTTCCGTGGCCCGGTTGAGCCTGTGGGCGTTGCGAGGCCCTGAGGCAGGCCGCGGCCTGGCAGACGATGGCGCTGGCGGCCCTGCGCTGTTCAGTGCGAGATCAGAACCGGTTCCTCCCGCCCCGCCCGGCGCCGTGCCGCGCCGTGTCTCCATGGGAGCGACGCCCCTTAGCCCCCCCCCCCCGCAGCTCACCCCCCATGCGGGGCCGGGGTCACCTTCCCAGTAGTGCTCAGCCCCAATATGGGCCCGTGGATGAGCCCAGAGCAGACATCCCCCCTTTTCCCTGGGGATGAGGGAGCTGACACAACGCTGCTGGTGGGATCGATGCCTTTATTGCTTAGCCAGGTCCCTGCAGGACCCCCGGGTGCACGAGGAGCAAAGGGTGGACATGTGGGGTGGGGTGGGGGGGCTCTGCTTTTGGGGGTGCCGTGGTTGGGTGCTGTGGAGCTGGAGCCCGGCTCAGGCGTTCTCCCAGAAGAAAGTGTTGCAGGCCACGGTGAGGGCGGCCACCAGAACCACGTACTCCTGGAAGTCCACCTCCCCGTCGCCGTTCTCGTCCAGATCCTGCATGATCTTCTCCACAGCCCCCGTGTCCTTCTGGGTCTGGGGAGGGGACAGGACAACAGGGGTGAGCCCCGGGGGCTGGCAGCCCGCTGGGACGCCCCGTGTGTCCCCCAGCACAGCTCCTACCTCCAGGAAGCAGCCCAGCTCGCTCTGCAGCAGCTCCTTCAGCTCCTTCTTGCTCAGCTTGTACTTATCCCCCTCTTTGCCCGAGTAGTGGTGGAAGACGTTGATGAGCGTCTCCATGGCCCCTTCCAGCTGCGATGCCATGGCTCCGGCTGCGGGAGGCACCCGCTGTGTTACAGGGCCAGCCTTGGATCGCAGTTCTCCCCCCAGCCCCATCCTGCAAGCACCTGCACCCCCTCCCCACCCTGCACCCCCCAACCAGAAGCCATGCAGAACGCCATCAGCGAGGCTGTGGGGTGCCCCGCTCCCTCCTCCCCCCCTTTTTTAATGGGGCGCTGCTGCTGTGAACCCCCTTGATGGTATCAAACCATGGTGGGTACCCGCGGTCCCTCCGTCACCCGGTGCTCACCTGAGCTCCCCGCCGTGCCAAGTGCTGGGCTGGGCTGCCCAGGGATGTTAAATAAGCTCCAGGCCCCCTCCCTCCGGGAGGATCCGATACCAGGGCTGGACAGCCGGGCTGGCACCGTTGGGACGCCCCGCGCTGCCTTCGCTGGGCTTGGGAGGTGGGGACACCCCTGTGGCCCCGCTGCTCACCCCGCACCTGGAGGAGCACTTCCAGCCCTTGCAGTGCTTATGGGGCGCTTCGGGGTGCTCTGCGTCTCCCCCGTAACCTCACACATCCCTTTTTGCCACCTCTGCGGTCCCTTGGGATGAGCAGCAGTGGGATGCTGGGGATGGGGTGGGCCGGCTCTGGGTCAAACCGTGACCCCGAGTGTGACCCATTGGGCATCCCCCATCTGTCAGCGCTGTGGTGCGGGATGGATCCGGCCCCATCCCTCCTTGGTGGCTGATGCATGCGGGTATCCGGTGTCCTCGATGCCGGCGGGGGGAACTGGCGGGGGCTATCGGGTGACGCAGCGCGGTCCCCCCGCTCCCTGCTCACAGAAAGGCCCTTGTCCCATTAAAAAAGCCCCACAATCCCTGCCCGAAGGTTGCCTCAGCAACGGTACGGCTAAAGAAACCAGATTCCTGGCCTTGCTGATAATCCTGGCTCTCGTTACCACCCAGCATCCGCGCCACCCGGCCGTGCCCGCTGCTCCTCCCCATCCCTGGATGTCCTCCCCCCTTCCCAGAGTGGTGCTGAGCCCCCAAACCGGGGCAGCCTGGGCCGTCCCCGATGCAGGGGGCCTCTGGCTGCTGGGCTGTGGTGTTTTCACAAGAGCTGGGTGGTGCCGGACTCTTTATCCCAGATTCCAACCCTAATTTGGGGCTAATTATATCCTGCTCCCTTCGTTTCCACTTTCCGCACTTCCTGTCCCTGTGGCTGAGAAATGCTGCGGCGTGGGGACCCCCAAAAGCCAACATCCCCCTAACTGTGCCACCCTGATCCCATGGGGGTCCTGAGCCTGTCCTGGGGATGAAGAGATGGGGGGGGGGGGGAAGGGGGTTGGATTTGGGGTGAATTGCAGGATTCTGGGGGCTCTGCTGCTGGCCTGCAGCTGGAATAGCTCGAGTGGCTACAGAGGAGGTCTGGATGGAGGTGAGGAACCCAGATGGAACTGTTTGGATGGTCTGGATGGAGAGGGTGATCCTGGGGGAAAACACAGGCACTGCGTCGCTCCACGACACGCTGCCTTTTTTCCATTAGGACCCAGCAGCCAGCATGGGGCAGGAGCAGAGCCCAGGGCATTGGGGGAAGGCTGTGTGCAGCCCAGAGTGGGGAGCAGACCCCGGTGTCACTCACGTGTCGCTATGGGGGGAGGTTGGCGGCGGTGGCACCTTCGTCCCCGTCTCAGCAGTGGGCAGAATGCGGCCGCCCCTTCCGGGACTGCCTGACCCTGGCACTGCATGGCCTGCACAGCTGCTGCAGGATTGCCCTGGGTGTAAAAATAACCCCGATCCCTTGCAGCCTTTGGCACGGGTGGGTGACGGGAGCCAGGCGGTGGCCATACAGCTCCCATCACTGCGTTGAGCTCAGCTGGGCTCTGCCCCGCTTTTATCAAACCCCAAACCTTCCTGAGAGCAGGAAATGCTCGGGTGTTCCCTGAATGGTGAGCTGGGTTGGAGCCACGAACCCAAAATCACATCGGAGGGGGAGTCTGTCCAAGCAATGGGACCGGGTGCCACCCGGCCTGTCCGCACTGGCAGCTCCCCGGAACAGCTCTTACCAAACTGGGAGCAGCGAGGGACGTGCCAGGAGGTTTACACACAGCCTGGAACAGGTTTCAGCCTCTGCGACTCCCGTGCTCCACTTTGACCCAGCTAAACCAGTTGCTCCAGTTGCTGCTGGTGCCGGGGCTGGGCTTGATCTTGTCTCTCCGATCCATCGCCGGAGCTTGGAAGAGGCTTTTCCATCTCTGGAGTCTGGGAGAGGAGAAGCTGCTGGGTGTGCGCTGTGCCGTGGTTGGGGACATGGCGGTGGCACGTGGTCTGGTGGCCTTATCCCATCACCTCAATGGATGGGGTGGGCGATGAGTTTGGGACGGTGTCACAGCCTGCAGTCACCCTCCCTGGTGGAGCAGGACGGGCTGGAACAGCACCAGGATGTGGTGGTGGGCACCGACCCCACATCTGACCCCAAGCTTTCACCCCAGGACCTGCAGTCCCTGCGATGCTCACTCGTCCTGATAGCGTTGGGGACCCTGAAGCCACCACTCCCTACATGTCCCCTCCTGGGGCCATGCAGCGTCCGCTCCCTCCTCACCCCATCCTGGCACCCCAAATTCCAGGGGTGACGAGTCACGGCCCGCCTGGCTTTGGGGCGCTGACTCACCCCCAATTTGTCCCCGTCCCTTCCGAGCCTGACTCACCCCGGCGGTTTCCCATCTCGGTCCCCTGACGTGGGGCTCAGCGGAAGGGCTGTCCCCGTCCCCCTGTCACCCCGGGATGGGGACGGACCGGATGGAGTGCAGGAAGGCAATTCCTGCCCCGTGAGCTGGTGTGACGGGTGTGAGGGTGGGGATGGGCTGCCTGCTGCTGGAGTCACCCTGTCCCCATGGATGGGTGGAAAGAGTGCGTCAGGGTTGGTGACACTGCCCTGCGCTCTGCTCCAGCTCCCCAAAACGGGTGGCTGTGGGGTCCCCAAAGGGACGTCCCTGCATCCATGCACTGCAGTGGTGGGGGTGCTTGCCCTGTCCTTGCTCATTGTCACACTCGGTGTCACCTGGCCTTGGGGACACCCCAAAAACCTCTGCTCTGGTAGGGACCAAGGGTGGACAGCAGTTAAGAGGATGCTGTGCTGCTGCTGGGGAGGGTCCCTGTGTCCCCTCCATCCCGTGCCACCAGTGCTGTGCCATGGGGAAGGCTCAGGGCGCCGTGGGAATGGCTGTGCCGCAGCGGAGCCGTGCTGGGGCTGCTGTACACCGCGATTACAGAGGAGCGCTCGGGCAGTTCCAACCTCCTAATTAATTTGGATTAATTAATTTTCACAAAGCCCACTATTAATAGGGGTGATGTCAGCCGGCGGTGAGTCACAACTCTCACTTGGAGAAGGGTGATCCCAGCCCAGGCTTCGCAGCTGGGACAAACTGTTATGGGATGAAAGGGACAAAGGGGACAGCGTTGCCATCCCATGTGTGTCCCCATTTCTATAGCAAAACAGAGCCTGGGAAGCACTGGGGAAGGGGGGGGAAGGGGGGGAGGTACACACCTTGCACCCTACAACCATCTGGGTGGCTCAGTGCAGCGAGTGTGCCCTGGGACCCCGTGGTTCATCCCATAACCCATCCCATGTCCCCACTGCACGGTGCTGGCTGTGCACGGAGCGCTGCTGCTGTGCGGGGAGGGGACGGGAAGCTGCTGCCGGGCGGCGTCTGCAACGGGAAACCCAACGGAAGCCCCGCCTGAGGGGGGGGGGGGGGGAGGTGAGGGACCGCGCACTGCAATCTACCACTATAAGACCCCGCTGGGGGGCTGCAGTTGAGTGGGGTAAGTGGGATCACCGCCCCCATCCTCACCCTCTGGCAACGGCCGTGAGGCCCCGCGGTGCCACCGTCCCCTTCCGGGTGTCAGCTGCCCTCCCCCGTGGCACATGATGGCTGTGGGGGGGGGGGGGGGGGTTTCATCCCTGCGGTGTAGAAAGGCAGCCCCCACTTCTGCAGGGCTGAGGCCACTCAAATTCGCTGCACCTTATGCTGGGAATGGTGGGGGTCCTCGCGTCCCACTGGGCATCACCCCCTCCCCCCAGGACGCTCCTCTCCCCGCAGCCCCCATGGCTGCAGCTGAGCTGACCCCAGTGGAGACGGCCATCGAGACCATCGTCACCGTGTTCGTCTCCCACACGAGGAAGGAGGGTCGAATGGGGACAATGACAGCCACCGCGTTCCAGGAGCTGCTACGGCTGCAGCTGCCCAACGTGATGAAGGTGAAGATGGGCTGCGGAGGGCTGGCGGTGGGGGGTCCTGGTCTCCGTGGGGACACTTTGAGCTGTGGGGCTGTTCCCTGCGTCTGGGGATCTGTGAGAGTGGAAAAGCAAAACTGAAAGCATCCCAGAAGGGCTGAGGTGCTGCAGGTGAAGGGGCCGCGTGCTTCTGTGCTGGGGGGGGGGGACTGACAGCGTCCATCTGTCCATCCGCCCCTCTTGTTTCCTCGGTCTGGGCTGTGGTGCTGCCCCTCGTGTCATCCCCCTATGGGGACAGAGGTGTCCCCTGGTAGTGGTGGCCATCTGTCCCCATGCCCTCCCTTTAGGATGTCCCCTCCCTGGAGGAGCAGATGCGGACGCTGGATGTGAGCACGGACCAGGAGCTGACGTTTGAAGAGTTCTGGAGGCTGATGGGCGAGTTGGTCCGGGCCCTGTGGAGGGAGAGGGAGGAGAGGAAGAAGTGATGGGGATGGGGGGACGCTCATGAAGCAAAATAAAGAAGTTTTCATGGGCCTGGACATCTCTGCTATTCTTTGTGGAGCCTCCTGACGCAAGCAGCTCTGCCACAGAATCACAGAACCAACTAAGGTTGGAAAAGACTTCCAAGATCATCAGATCCAACTGCCATGCCCAGCAGCCGTGTCCCTCAGTGCCACATCCATACATTTCTTGACCAGATCCTGCCGTCTCCAAACTGCCTTTGTGCTGATTTGGATTGCAGGGTCCCACCTGCACCCCACGTACACAACAACGGGGTCCCACAGAGCAGCAGGTTGCACCCACGGCACTGCAGGCCTCAGCAGTGATGCTGTGGGCATGCAGCCACCTCCAAGCCACCTAGGTGGGGTTATCTGGGGATGCGACCCAGTGCATGGTGCATGGTAGCTGGTGCATGGTACCCAATGCTCAGTGCATGGTACCTGGAGCCCAAAGCATGGTACCTGGTGCCCAAAGCATGGTACCCAGCGCATG